TTCATGATTTTCATGTGCTCTTATTAATACAACTTCGTTCTAAAAAAAAATTAATACTAGTGCCACTACTTAGGCCTCGTTTGGGAACAGGCTAATTTAGTAACTTTTTGACTATTTGGCTAAAATATGAGCTAAAAAAAACTAGTATGTTTGGGATGACTTTTTGACTTTTTACGAAAAGATGTGCAAAAAGTAGAGAGAAAAGAGAATCTTTGACTTTTTGGTATGGATTGTTGGCTTTTTGGCTAATTTAGTAACTTTTTGATTTTTTGGCTAAAAAAGAGGGTTCCCAAACGAGGCCTTAGTGTATAATTATAAGAAAGGTAGCGAAAAATTCATTTATATGTAATATTAAATAATTATATTCATTGCATAACAAACAACAACCGAGGTGGGTTTTTTAATCACTTCCATAAGTGTTTTATGATACATTATACAATTTTTTTTTAATTTTTTTTATTTATTTTTAAGAACTGGACCATAAGTTCACAGAAACTCCGGTTGGCCTGTGACTCAAAAAGTTGATTTGGCCTCCTTTGGAGACTAAATATTTTAATCAAAAAATAATTATATATTATCACATTATTATTTTTTATATAACTTTTTATAAAAAGTTAAAAAATTATTAAAATAATTTATTTTCAAACGAGTTCAAAGGTTCATTTTGTTTAAAAAAATCTTATTTCATTTGACTAATTAATTTTCTATCAACAAGTCCACTTTAACTGCTCTTAAAAATTATTAAATGGGCCCAAAAAAAAAAGAATTAATTACAATTAATTAGGAGTATTCGCGGTTTGGTTGCGATCAGAGAACCTCCAATCCTCCATCCGTCTGCTGGATTGACAGATTGGAAAAAAATCAATCCGTATTCATCCGCCGGATTGGCGGATGCGAATTGAACATATTGGCGGTTGGATACGAATCGATTTGGCAGTTTAAACTTTTACAAATTTTGAATATAATACTTATCAACATTTATTTATTTTTTTGGATAACAATCGAACTCAACATAATCAAAAGATTATCAAGTAAATTGTCAAATACTAATAATGAATACATATAATAAAATCATCCATTATCAAAACTATTTCATTACTGTTTGTTTATTCAAAAATTATTTAATTTGATTTTTTTTTAATGACAAAATTAAGCCTTATATTTTTCACTTAAAAATATCAAATATTAACACTTGTCATTTGATATAAGGATTTCCAAATTGAAAACACAACAGAATATCTAAACTATTTTTCAATTGAAAATAAAAACAGAATATCTAAACAAATTAAAAACATAAAGTCTTACAAATTACTAGAGATGCTCATAGTTTGGCGGTTCGGTTACGGCCAAAGGAACCTCAAATTCGTCATCCAACCAAAACTAGGCCAATTGAAAAAAATCAATCCACAACCGTTCGCTTGTCATTACACATCTGTCCAAAATGCAATGGATCGGTTCAGTTCGGTCGGTTTGGACGGATCGAAATATCTGCTGAACAACCCTACAATTAACATCCCTACACTTTTATTTGTAATCACATTTTGGTGTCATTACTTTCAATTATAACAATTAACCCATTACATTTTAAGTTAAGTTGTAATGTTGCCTTTCAGTCCATCCACCGTTAATGAGATTGGCAAAAATTAACAGTGAATAGATCAAAGTGAGATTTTAGTGAAAGTACATGGATCAAAATGAGAATTTAATGAAAGTGTAGAGATGATAATTAAACAAAAAAGACAAATTTAATTCACATGAGAAGTTCTGTTGGCTTTACGGCCTTATTTGGAAAGACGAGTACGGGCTAAAATAGTTAATAAAAATAAAATAAGCTAAATAATTAATATGACAAAATGTCATATCTAAATCATAATTATTTATTTCTTTTGCAACCATCAAATCAATTATCCAAAAAAAAAAGTCAATCAACTTCATAAACATATTTTTTTTAGTTAGGCTAAATTAGTCAAAATGACAAAAAGCTAAAATAGCCAACTTCCCAAATGGGGTGCCTCTATTTACACACCATATTTGATCTCAAGGCACACCATTAATTAGTTATTTTTTATTACAATAATGACCTTACCTAAAATGACCAAAATGACCACAACCGAATACACACCTTAGTTAAATGCACATCCAAATCCTAACCCTAACCACCACTGCTGCAGTCGCCGCCATTTCACCGCCGCTGCCTCATCACCCCTCTCCAACTCTGGCGAATCCCTATCACCACAAATCCTCGCCACCACCAACCATCCCTCCTCCTTTCCGTCGCAATCACCAACCTAGAAACCCACCACCTCGTAGATTACGAGAGTATAGATCGCGATTGTCTCTCTCTCTCTCTCACAATCGGAGGTATGCCATCGGGGTCACGGGAGATGAGCAGTACGCGATTGCAATCATGACGGTGGGGGCTGGAAATCGCGACGGTGAGAAACGGGAGTGGAGTATGAAGGCTATGCGAGTCTCGCCAGAGGGGGAAGAGGGTTGGAGGTGGTTCACCGGAGGGGGAAATGGTTGGGGGAGGTTCGCTAAAGGGCCTAGGAAGGGGAATGGGGTGGCAGTGATCTACGAGGTGGTGGGTCTTTAGGAATGGAGGTTGCCGGTGATGGCTGCTGCCGCCATGGTTGGCGTTGATGGTGGTTGCCGGTGATGGCTGCTGCCGTCGGTGGTAAGTCTAACAGCTAAGGGTTTTTTTTTTTTTTTTTTTTTTTTTTTTTTTTTTTTTTTTTTGAATTTTAAGTGTGTACTAAGTGATGTGAAACTAAGAGCAAAAATGGAACGTTGTGGTGTGTGTTGAGAAAAATTATGTTTTTTCAAATTATTAAAGGTGTAAACTGAGTAGCAATGTGCCTTGAGACTAAATGTGGTGTGTAAATAGAGGCACCCTCCCAAATGAGCTCAACATTAGATAGATGAAATAATGACATTACAATTTAATTTAAGGTGTAAGAGATTCATTGTCAAAATTAAAAGTAAATGGATCAAAGTGAGATTATGTTAAAAGGGTGAACTAGGGGTGGGCGTGGGTGGGTTGCGGCCACAGAACCTCCAATCCGTCATCCGTCCGTCATATTGGCGGATTGAAAAAAATTAATCCGCATCCATCCGTCAATCTGGCGGATGCGGATTGGCGGTTTGGCGAATGGATGCGAATCGGTTTGGAGGTTTAAAATTTTATAAATTTTTAACATAATTTAACTTATGCGCTTCCTCAAAAAAAAAAAAAGTATTACAGTCAATGACTTAAAAAAGTATTACAATCACTGTATGCCTCATTCAAAAAAAGAAAGTTTGAAACTTTAGAATATCACAATCACTGTATGCATCATCCACATATTACAATCACAATATGATTCATCCACATAAAGTATTACAATCTGTGGTTGTTAAAATGTAAAAACAATTCAAACCACCAAAACTATAAACAGAGCAATAGTAGAGATTGTATGTCTCTCTATTGTTACATCTATATATAGTTAGATTTAAAAATAAAAAAAAATATAGATAAATAATACGTTTATTTAAACTTTTTTTCAATTGAAAACACAAACAAAATATTTAAACAAATTAAAAACACAAAATCTTATAAATTACAAGGGGTGCTCGCGGTTTGGCGATTCGGTTGTGGCCAAAGGAATCTCAAATCCGCCATCCGTCCGCCAAATTGGCGGATTGGAGAAAATCAATCCGCAACCGTCTGCTCGTCATCACGCATCCGTCCAAAATGCGACGGATCGATTCGGTTTGGTCGGTTTTGGCGGATCGACATATCTGCTGCTCACCCCTAGGGTGAACTAATCCAAAAAATTATATGCTAACGTTTTAGCATTATTTATTTATCTATTTATTTTACTTATAAATTTATTTTTAATCAGTAAATTAACTCTTTAATTATGTCTGACAACAACCTTGTCCAACTTATAGGATAAGCTCTCTAACCTCAACAATTGGCGTACTTACTAAGTAACAAGGTGGTTACCGCGTACGTTTATTTGTAAATTGTAAGGAAGGTTGAATGACTCTATATTTACACATTTTATTTATTTATTTATTTATTTATTTTTTAAGATTGGTTAAAACTGGAAAAAAGATTACAATGAACAAGAGAGAACACGTAAGAAATTGTCGGAGTGTCCTCCGTCCAAACTGTTAACCAATTAGAATTAACCGCCATCCGAGCTAAGCCATGAGCTGTTATATTTATCGACATTGGAAGCTATAATTAATTATTATTCATCATAAATTCAAATCCATGAATCAATAATAGGTATAGATAGCAATAAAAACACAATAATTGTTTGATTATGTTCATGTTGTCTTTGGTTTTCTTTTTTTATATATTTTTTAAAAATATATATAAGAAAATTTTAAAATGGTCATAATTTTTATATTTTTTCTTTGGTGTTTTCAAAAATAATTTTTGACTTTTCAATCCATATTTTTTTTTATTTTTAGTGAATTTTTAAAATATTTTAATTAATATATATTTTTTACTTTTTAGATTCACTTAATTTAAATACACTTAAAATGTATAAATTTATGAAATATTTTTTAAAAAAATCACTAAATTCTAAAAAATACAACAAAAATTATAAAAGTTCAGTACATATTTTTTTTTTAATATTTATTAATCTTTTTTAAGACTTTCTCTACAAATATTTTATTTTTTAAGTAGATTTAAATTAGATGTATCTAGAAAATAAAAAATAATAAAATACATATTGAAAACTTGAAAGTTAATTTTTTTAAAATTCAAAACCAAAATGTGTGAATAGATTTTTTAAAAACTGTGAGTTATTTATGCTTTGAAAAATATATATATATATATATATATCCACTGTGGTATGGACAACTTTTTGAATGGGGGTGCTTTTTGAAATCTCATGACTTTCAAAGGATCCCTTTAAAGGGAAAAAGTCTATGTACATAGACTCCCTCTGCCCCCTCCTCCCTGATAGTGTCTTATTTGATTGTGTTACGGTACCTCTCTTTCCTCCCACTTTCCACCACAATTATATTGCATCTCTCTCTCTCTCTCTCTCTCTCTCTCTCTCTCTCTCTCATGCCTTGCCTATAAATATTTCAACATTTTGGGTTTTGTCTTCTCATTCAGTTTGGCCAACACATTACCCACAACAGAGGACAGGACTAATAATAATAGTAGTAGTAGTGTGGAGTTCAGTTGTAACAATGGTAGATACAACACTCAGTCTTGACCTTAACACTGAAAAGCCTCAGCCCAACTTTGATCAAGCCACTGTGAGTAGATTTGGATTTCATCATACCCAATTTTTTGGTATTGCTTTGATTGCTTCCATGGATTCTTCAACTTCAATTGTTTTTCTTCTTCATTTTTATTCCTTGAATTCAAGGTGATTTAAGCAAAAGCAACGTCATGTTGTTTAATGACAACTTCAAATAAAACTCTAATCAGCTTTATACCAAAATTTGTTAAATTCATGTCTTTCTTCTTCTTCTTCTTCTTCTTCTTCTTCTTCTTCTTCTTCCTCTGTTTCATTTTATTTTAATCAAATATTCAAAAAGAAAAACTTTCGCATCAGGTCATTTGCACTTTGTTTCTGCATTGCTTAAAACATGGTTCCTTGCATGTATACATTTTTTTTTTGGATCAGCGTACATGTATAAATTTCTATAGGACTCGATTTAATTTGTAGTATTAAATATTGGCTGACACATATATTAGTGATCACCTTTTACAGTTACATTTATACTGATTTCTAATACTATCAGTGTCAACTCGTGTTTCAATACTCCTAATTAAAATTTAAATTGTATAAGATATGAGATCTTCTGTCGTTAAATTTTAGCGTACTTAGAAATTTTCAGGAATTCGATTGTTGTGAATGTTTTGCAATGGAAAACAAGATTTGAAGCATCTTATTGAGAAATTTAACATTTCAACACTGTTTCCAACAAAGTAACTAAATCAAAGAGTTGTTGTTGTAAGCAGGTGAATGGTTTGGTTGAACAGCTAAAAAGGAAGAGTAGTGAGAACAAGAAACTAACCGAAATGCTAATCTTCATGCACGAAAGCCACAACGCATTGAAAAACCACTTAACAAGTTTGAATTTGATGCAAAATGAATCCCAAAATGAAGTTTCCAAATCAAAGAAGAGAAAGATGGATGGTGAAAACAAGTCTGAAAGTAATAATGGAAACACTGAGAGCAGCTCATATAACAGTGATGGAAGGCCCAAGGAAATAAAGATCACTAATGTTTCCAAAATTTATGTACGGACTCATCCATCTGATACAAGCCTTGTAAGTTCCCAAAACATTCATGTACTTCAATCAAGTTATTACAATTAAATATGTGTTCCAAATTAATTTTGCCTATGCTTACATTAATTATACTAACCTTAAATTTACATACACTTCATTATATATATTTTTATTTTTTAGTTTTTGTTTTTAATCTAATTGGTGAAAGAAATTGAGTTGGTGATCCTTCATTCACCTTTTAACTCCAAGTCTCCACATAGCCACAATTTGAATGTATTCTCATTTGGTAATCTTTAATTTTAGTCAAAAAGTCAAAAAATTATTATAAGTTGTCATATCAGTTTCTCTGTTTTTTTGCACATCTTTTTATAAAAAGTCAAAAAATTACTAAAATAGTCTGTTCTCAAAAAGTTACTAAAAGTCACTTTTCTGCAATTTATAATTTCAATTTCATCAATTTAAATCTTATATTTTCAATTACATTTCAATATGGTTTTTCTCGCTATTGTTGTTACCATTTTAGATGAAAAAAAAGAAAAGAAAAAAGAGTTACGTGCAATTCACATAACCTTTTTAGCAATTCCAGCCTTAAAAGCAAATGAATAGATTGCTCATTCTAGTTTTAAATATGTATTTTTTTTTTTTTCTCATTCAGAATGTTAAGAATTTGATCATATTGATTAAAAATGTGATATTTAAATTGATAAAAGTTAAAATTAAGAAGACCAATGTGAAATCTCATTAAAATTATAGAGACTAATAATGCAATTCACCTTTTAAATTCTAGATACTTGTGTGGCCGATCAAAAAAAATTCTGAGTACTTGTGTGAGTATTTAACATTGCTGATTTAAAAGTGATTATATACATATATTCTTATATCTATATGTATAACCTTCCAAGTACTTAACCCTATTTGTGTCCTTGGATTGAATTCCAGATAGTAAAGGATGGATATCAGTGGAGAAAATATGGACAAAAAGTCACTAGAGATAACCCATCACCCAGAGCTTACTACAAGTGCTCCTTTGCCCCAAGCTGTCCAGTGAAAAAGAAGGTGAGCCAAATCTAGCATCCCTCCTCAACACTCTCTCTCTCTCTCTCTCTCTCTCTCTCTCATAGAAACAAAACATAAGTCTAGTATGAGGAAATATTAATTTGTTTTGGTATATGTTTAACAGGTGCAAAGGAGTATTGAAGACCCTTCTCTGTTAGTAGCTGCTTATGAAGGAGATCACAACCACCTCAACCCTTCTCAAGCCGAGGCGAAATCCATCCCAATCTCCACCACCCTGTCTTCAAGCCCAAGCTCTGCCATAACAACACTTGATGATTCTCCGCAACCACAACCTCAATTGAATTTGTGTAGCAATGCCAACAAGTCCAATATTCTGGGACTAGGAATTGATGTGCCATCATCGGCATTTCAACAGTTTGTGGTTGAACAAATGGCTAATTCCTTAACCAGAAATTCCAGTTTCACTGCAGCGCTCGCAGCTGCCATTTCAACCCGGATTCTAAACCATGATGATCCGATAGAAAGTTGGGAAAATGATATCTGATATTTTTATATATTTTCTGTTTTTAAATTTTGATTTTATGATAGAGTGTTTGGAGATATGGAGATCAGACGTACTGCTAGAATATCATGATGTGAACAGATTTTTGCCACCTAATAAAAGGATTATATAAGCTTATTTAATAGCTATTGTTCATTGATTTATATATGAATGAACCATGCCATATTTAATTTTCACTTCTCTCCTATGAGGGATGTCTATTTTACAATGTAAAGGGTGATTAAAGACAGACGTTTCTAACCCTAATTGTTTTGTTTTCTATTTTCTTGTTTGTAAAGCACGTTGATTAGTGATTGTATTGTGGAGAAAACTCTTTATACTTGGTACTGGCTGAAGTTGCAACTTGATTACCACCGGAGGTGGTTGTCTCATGGACAATGTATTTTGTTCCATAGAGGTGAGTCATGATCTAATTTTTGGGCATGCTCTCTTTGCGGAGACTCTGCACTGTACTCTGATCAATACTTGATCCCTTCTGTGGCGTGTGTATAAGGTCCATTAGAAGCCTTAATGGTGAGTCACTTCCTATAGTTTAGGTTAAATTAGGCCAACAACTGGTTATCCTAGGATTAGAGTCCGCGGATGCTATGATATCCCCACGGCGTATCCTTTCTTTTCGTTCAACAAAAAAAGAAAAAAAGGTTGCAACTTGATTGCATTTGTTTGAGTGGTTGTGGGCTCATTTCCATCATCATGGCTTCCATCCTATCAAGTCATGCAGAGGTTGAATCATCCCCATCTTCCATCCTTGTTCTCGCCATGATCTGAGGAACATGTGTAACGCCCTCAAAATAATACATAAAACTTATTACTTTAAACATGCATTGATATAAAAGAAATCAACCATTTTTATTCATCAGAGTAATTCTTACACTGTATTACACGTTAACAACAAAAGCAAATGCCCTATGGGCTTACAGTTTTCCAAGTCAATACTTGGTTATAAAAAGAAGAGTGCTAACTCAATACATATTAAGCACTTGGCTTGACATACATGTAATACAAATAAAATAAACAAAAGGAGTCTTCAACTCTCATCATCGTCCAAGCTATGTCCTTGGAGTGGGCATACTACCTGTACCTAAAAATAATGTCCCATAAAGGGTGAGCCAACGCCCAGTAGAGATATGCTAAACACAGCATGAGCAATAACTAAGACATTAGCAATTGATAAATGTTTAATTTCCATAAACCAATTCATAACCCATTTCCATTTTCATGACCACCATATTCATATTTCATTTCAATTTCCATTTCTTATCAATTTCACAATTTACATCAATGGATCAGAACCTGGCCGACCACTTATATGACACAATGACTCATATTAAACATTTTCCGTTTTTTTACAATAGATAAACATACTAGTTGTATCAACATCTCAACAGATAAGCATACAAGCTGTATCCACATTTCAACAGATATGCATATTAGCTATATCAACACTTCCAATGATAAGCATATGAGTTGTATCAACACTTCCAAAGATAAGCATATGAGCTATATCAACACATTATCTGACAAGCATATGAGCTGTATCAGTAGAGTCCATTCCCTATCTCCTCTCAAACAACATCTGGTTTAGAGGTCCATCCCCTATCTTCCCCTAAACTGTGGAGTACATCCCCTATCTCCTCCCACACACACAACGTATATACACTGCAATGCTCAATCAAAACACGTATTTTCTGTATCAATGCAATAGTCAAAATTAATGACTCAACCAATGTGATTAGTTTTAGTTTGCCATCATCATGCATTGTCTACAGCAATCAAAACTACCCTCCACTGGTAGCCCAAGCAATTATTTCTAAACAGATAATAAAAGCTTCAACAGATAAAATATCAATGTTTTCAAAAAGTGAGCCGATTAATAAATCTAACTCCACTATCAACCATATTACTGAACCAATTTCATTATTTCCAACTCAATTCCATATAACCACCATTTTCTCAAATTAATTATACCAATTAATTTATACAACCAAGTTAGGTTTTCTACCCCATTTCCCATATTGACCCAATGGTCTAAATATCAACAACAACATCAATAACACCATGTTGAACCCAAAATACATATCATGAGCCCAAAATCACAAAAACCCTCTTTAACACATTTTGAAAACCCTAAGTCCCAAATCAACCATTTAAACAATAAGCTCAAAATCTAGAGTTAAAACCATAAGAGTGAGTAGAATCCCTACTCAAAATCGGAGGCTCAAGGAAAGAAGATGAAGAAACTCAACGTGCTCCAAAACTCAATATTTTCGGATCAAAGTGTAGCCCTCGACGATCAACCCAACTCTTACAAAGGCCGAAGGAAAGGGAAACACTCTAACTAGATCAAACCCTAGAGAGAAGGGAGTTTCTAGAGAGAGGAACTCTCAAAATGTCTTTTTAGAAAGTAAGAGAGAGAGAGAGAATGTAAAAAGTGGTTTTAAAATGCCCAGCTGCCAACTGATATGTGACATTCCCGCTCGAGCGGAGAACACAACACCCGAGCGTCAAGAACAAAAAACTAGGTCCGCTCGAGCGCAATAAGTCCCGCTCAAGTGCCAAGACACAAGAATAAAGTACATCCGCTCGAGCGCGAAAACCAGTTCGCTCGTGCGTAGATTTCCCCTTCCCAGAACTTACACCCAAAGGTACTACCCGCTCGAGCGCCAAAGTACCCGCTCGAGCGCCACCGCTCGAGCATAAAGAAACCCGCTCGAGCGTAAAAATCATACCTGCAGAAGTTTTGAAGGGACACGAAAAACTGGGAGCGTGCAATCTCCGCTCGAGCGCAAGAAGACCCGCTCGAGCGAACCGCCTAAACACTGGGCAACAAAGAATTGAAACCAAAGCCTAACCAACCTGTAATAACTCTGCCCAATACATCCTAAAACTCAATCAAGTGGAATTAAAGGATGACAACAAGGTACACCACCACCAACATCACGGAACCGAGTCCGGAATACAACAGAACAGTCAAGGGGCAACCGGGATCGCTATAACCTCCCTCCCTTAAAGAATTTCGCCCCCCGAAATTAAACACAAATTTTTTTCAAAAACAGGTTTTCCCCATTTTTAACAATATTACAACATAATATTAAACAACCCGACCCATTACCGGTCAATCCCATCTCTTTTCAAGAGGCATAACACATTATTCATAACAACCTATATCATCAACATGCATTCCTTTGAAATTTAGCAATTTCAACTCATTTTCCACAATACATTGAACATATGCAATGTTATAACAAATTTCCATTAACCCAAAACATTCACAATGTTTTTCAACTTAAGACACATATAATGTCCTTAAAGTTCAATGATATTACAAAAATTCCAATACATGATCACACATCTACAAACAAGTCCGGATATTTGTCGCGGACTTCCAACTCACGTTCCCAAGTGGCTTCCTCCACTCCGTGATGTTTCCACAAAACCTTCACCAAAGGAATGGTCTTGCCACGCAGGACTTGATCCCGCCTATCCAAGACCCGAACCGGTCTCTCCTCATACGAGGCATCCTCATCTACCTCTAAGTCGGTCCAATCTAACACATGGGACGGATCCGGTTCATACTTCCGAAGCATACTCACATGAAACACGTCATGCACTCCAGACAACTGCGGCGGTAAAGCTAAACGATAAGCAACCTCGCCAACCCTCTCAATGATCTCAAAGGGACTGATAAACCGAGGGGTAACTTTCCACTCTTCCCAAACCTTATCAAACCTCGCCTAGGTGATATTTTCAAGAAGACATGATCACCTACCTCAAACGCCAAAGGCCTCCTCTTACAGTCGGCATAGCTCTTTTGGCGACTCTGGGCTGTAACAAGCCTTCTACGGATAAGCTCAATTTTCTCTGTCGTCTCCCTAACCAACTCCGGACCCAACAAAGGTACATCACCCACCTCGGCCCAACACACTGGAGACCTACACGGTCGGCCATACAAGGCCTCAAATGGTGCCATACCGATGCTAGATTGAAAACTGTTATTGTAGGCAAACTCCACCAAGGGCAAGTGCCTCTCCCACGTCCCACTAAAGTCAAGGACACAACCCCGAAGCATATCCTCAAGGATCTGAATAGTACGCTCGGACGGCCCGTCAGTCTGAGGATG